TATTGCAAATCCTACCCCATGTTTACGTGGAGTTGTGGTGGCGTGACCCACCCAGTCGAACGTGTAGCCAGCACCTGCTTCATGCAACTTACCTTGCCCAGCGAGCCGAGTCTCACTGAGCGCTGCAATATCGATGTCGTACCGCGCCAGTTCGATCGCGACGGGCGCAGTGCGTTGCTCAGAGAGCTCACTCGAGTTCCGGTCCAGTAGTGTGCGCACGTGCCAGAACCCGATGCTGAGTGCTTTATGAGCAAGCATACCATTGCATTGGTGGGCAATCGCACGCGAGGTGGCGGTTGTGCTTCGGAGGTTTGCTTGCTGGACTCCACCTGGAGTCTTTGGCTCAATAGACTGATCCACAGGGCAGTGGGCGATTTGGTGGTTTGCTTGAGAGACACCACCCGAAGCCTTAGACTCAATAGCATGACTCAAAAGGCAGTGGGGAGCAGATGCAGCTGGGGAATGTGATTGCAGGGACAGTTTGGGATCTACTTGAGGTCCGTCACACGCAGAATTTGGAGCCCTTAAACCGTTCATACGTATTTGGCAAATTAAATAAGATAGGCGTCTACGATAACTGCCAGAGGCAGGTGCTTTTTGTCGGGTTTGCACTAATTTGACCAGGGACTACTTGGCTTGTGGCGGGCATTAGCAAACCACTGAAGTCTCAGAGGTGCACTCCCACTGTCAGAGGCAATGCGTGGCACTTGCTTGTCACGCTAATCGAGCTGTGAGTTTATAACCCGATGACCTGTTCACTCCTATGAATGGGTTTTACTGGAACAGGGCCATTGACCACTTCTTAACCTCCGAAGAGGATAGATTAGGATACTGGTAGGGCGCTCACACCTGACGGGAGAACGACTAGGGTCTTCAGCCAAAGTCTTCGATTAAATGTACACTCAAAAGGCAGCTGGTCTAGCACATGGTCTGTGCACTGACTCATGCGAATTGGTGTCCTGGATCTTAGCAGGGAGAAGGGCGTGACCGAACTCCCACCCATCGGTCACCACGAGATGTCCTCCAGGACATGACTCATGGCACAACGGAAGCAGCAGTTGGTAGGCCATCTGTCAGGATCTAGTCAACGCCAGCCTGCGGGCACCATAGGCTCCGCCGCATACGAATGCACTTAGTTGGCGTTATCCGGTTTCAGATTTGCCTGTCACGGTGGCTAACCATAGGACGCCTGCGCCTACAAAGGGACCATGAATGGCTGGCGCTGCACCGCATACAGCTCCAAACCCACACCTCATATCCAGTGTAAACCCGAAAGAACAAGACCGGGAGGTATGTGGATGGGAGCCACGTTTCATCAACGGAGCCGGCCCACACTCCTTCACAGGCAAACACAAACACGCTCTGTGAGGTAATCAAGCGCACACAAGTCAATGGATTTACCGTAGTCCGCTACACACTGAGTGCATGGAACCACTCTTCGAGCCTAGCACGGCCATAAAGACCGGGCACCCTGTCCCTTCATGCAATAACTAACTGTGTCCTGGAGCCAGTAGTGAGGAGGTAGTGGGTAATAGACAGTTGGGCACCTTGTCAACATGCACATCAAGCACAACCACACCAAGGATATCAAGCAACTGCCAATCACTTGAGACGGTAACATCAAATAAAGTAAATCGAATAATGCGTACGTATATGGTGACCTAACATTTTATTGAATGAGCGCATGAAAAACTGGTTAAGAACAAATACGCTATAAGTTCAAGGCGGCAGGAAATATATTTTAAAGAAATGCCACAAACGCGAAAGCGTCTTCGGTTAACTACAACTAGCTTCGGCAACGTGTGCAAGTTTATCGAAGATAGTTCAGGTAGACATTAATATGAGATAAAAAGGCATTAGGACAATATAGCAAACCCCCCACCAGAAACAAAGTGACTCGGCATGCAAGCATACCGCTACTAAATCTAATACAGCGTACCTACAAAGGCTGCACCGGTTCTACCGACGTTCTCTGCTGGGCCGCATGTGCTACAGCATCATGCGCTCGATGTCGATGGAGTACAATCCACCAGCGCTTGGCGCTTCCGCACTTGCCGCTTCTTTTCTGCCTGCATGCTATCTTCCTCTCGCATCTCCGCAACTGCCTGTGTCATCAGGTCTCGCCATGCAGACTGACAACCGCATTTGATTTCCATAACTTGAAATCAAGATTAGAACGTGAAAGGTTCACTCTGATCATGTGTTGGTAACGTAGATTCGGTTTCCCCGCATGCCGCTACCCAATACTCAACTGACCATATAATAGTTGTTTCGGTATCCGCGTTGTATCCATACGGCTCCAATAAACCAGCTAACTCAGGTGGCAGCAAAATTATGCGACCCATTGCATACATTCCACTTCGGCGTAACAATTCCATCTTCTCAACGCTGTCGCACCAATCGATAAGCAGAAACCGTCGTAAACGCTGTTGATGGAATCGCTGGAGATATCGTCGACGTTTCACTGCCGTATGCAAGAACGGATAGTACCATGGATTTGTACACCATCAGCTTCGTGCCAATGGTAAACTGATGGTTGTTCCACACTCGGTACTCTAGCTCCCGAATGCCACCGCTTCCTTTGAGACGCGGATACAAAGCTCACTGTGTAGCTGTTGGTCATTCGACATCTCACTCCCAAGGTGGCAGAAGCGGGAGGTGATTTCTAATACTTTAGCACCAATGCTGATTTGCAGCAATATTGAAGATTGCACATCCGGTGAAGTCTGAAAGCGACAGACGGTTTTGCTTGTGTTGATGGTGAGTGCAAATTTGGCCGCTGTCGAAGGCAGAGCATTAGTCATGTGCTGAAACGAACCCGCGCTGTGTGCAAACAACGCACAGTCGTCAGCAAACAGCAACGTACGGATAATTGTCTCACAGACTAGAGTTCTCGCACCGAAACGACGGGTGTTCAGAAACCCACCATCAATACGGTGCACAAAGCGAACACCAGAAGCACAAGCCGCATCCAAAGCACAAGACATCATTGCATGAAGATATATATAAAACAGGGCAGGAGCTATGACACAGCCTTGCTTCACACCAGTGACAAGTGCAATGTCACCCGAGGTCTCTCCACTTAGTTGCGCCCTCCCCCGCATACCACACTGTAGACATTCAATTAAACCTACAAACTTACTCGGACAACCAAAGTTACCCAACACCAGCAACAATGTCTCGCGCTTCATCGTATCAAATATCTTGGTGAAATCAACAAACAGCGAGTACAATGGCTGGTGTTTTTCTCTACACTTCTGCAACAGACGATCCGCGAATACCATATCAATGGTGCTGCGACCCGAACGGAATCCACATCGCTCTTCCAACACGTTGAGTTCCACAACTTGCCTGACGAGGCGGTTGAGCAGGATTCGGGCAATCACCTTGCTCACACAACTCAGCAAGTGGATGCCAGTACATTTCGTAGCACATTGCTTGCTCCTTTTGCCCTTGTACATTGGTGGCACAAGGGCATCCTTCAATTCAGGAGGCATGCACTTGCTTATGTACATATACTTATATCCAGTATGTTATTTGTTATCTTACGACATTTTTGTACCATTGCCGCGATGAAATGTTACCATTGTCATCCTGTTATTGTAGGTATGCCTCGTATTGCGGAGAATAAAACATACTGGATTTAGGCAGTATAATGCTTAGTTCAGACCCACAGCTAAATTTAGTAGCATGCCTATGCTGATTGCTTCAATCGTTATTTATCAGTTCGAGTGCGCCGGTGGCGCAATGTATATCGGTCGAGCGACACTTTCCAAATGCGTGAACGCATATTGCCCACGTTGGTGGCGCCAACTTGGCACCAGGACCATTAGCCGTTCCATACTCGCTCATATTTTCGACAATGCGCATCAGGTGGATCTCTATCACGCGTTTAGAGTTGGGTACAATCTTCCACCGAATAGATCGAAAGGTCAGCGCCTTCGTACACTTGCGACGGCCGAAACAATTTGCGTTAGATTAGTTCAACCATCCTTATATTTGCAAAAGAAGCTAGTCCAGGCTCTACAGCTTCCCTGGCCTGCGAAAATGGAGGATACTGAGGTCATCGGCATGAGGTCAAACTCAGTAGCATGTAATTAACTCGTTTCAATTTTTTGTCTAGGTTAGTTTTACCACCTGGTCGATTTTACCCTTTCCTTTTTAGTCTTATATATGATTGTATTGATCTGATGATGAACCATCGCAAACAATTGTTCACCAAACGGTCTCCTTTTTCCCATCAACTTACATGGGCATTTTCCTTACTCTAGTGCATTTTCTCGAAACGCCATCCAGTGATCATCACATGACACCATGCGAGTCAGTTTAAGTCAACTGGACCGGACCCAGCCTGATGACACTTTATTCAAAATCTAATGGACGTTTTGTATGGCGTGGTCATTAACACGTGCTACTTATAGTCTTTTGGCAGACTCCCGTAAAACTCATTTGTGTATAAGCAGAAAAAACAACCATAAATGTTACGGGATCTTGCACTAAACGACTTATACCCAAAGTGTTGCGTACGATGCCCTTTCGATACTACGGCCGCAGCTATTCACTACTGATATTGGAAACCGAGAGTTCCTTATTGCCATCCGATCTCTGCACCATTAAACTAATGCGCTGCATCAAGAATACCTGCTATAACTGTCAAGATTTCCTTGCTGTTTTGTAGTACACAATGAGAGATAAGATTGCTAGAACTAACCTTAACTTGAAATTGTATTTACTCTGAAGTGAACCTTGATTAGTTCTGATACTTGTAGTACACCCATAGTAGGCATGCTTTTTGTGCATATACACATATACACATGATCGACCATACTCAAGGTGTGTGTAACAGTGTTGAAGGTATAACTCATTATCTTTTAATACACATCACAAATTCGGAGTGTTGAGGGACTGGGATGAAACCTGAACTAACCGGTGATGATATCAGTATTACGTGTTATGCTTTTCACGTCTATATCCTAGCATTTATTGATAATATTTTTCAGGTTATCACATGATGCGATCGGCCAAAGACAGCTTCGACTACCTCAAGGGACCCACTGGAGTGGACAATGTCTATTGCATCCACGGAGCAGGAATACCCACAATCGAGCGCGTTGTTTACAAGCCGCATACTTTATTGAGTTTGCCATTTCCGGATCAAAGCCCGGAACTTGTGTATGGAGAAGGTGATGGAACAGTGAATTTGCGCAGCCTATCACAATGCGCTAATTGGACGGGCGTGCATTACACACAAATCCCCAAGGCGCATCATACGCATATACTCAAGGACCCGCGATTATTGAAATTGATGAAAAAAATACTTCGCATTTCGACATAGAGAGCGATAGGTCAGCTGGCGATAAATGAAACAAGACAACATACAACATTCCTCTGTGTCGAGCAGAATAACAACTAGAACATCAAATAGTATCGTTCTGCTATTACTAGTTACTTGCACGAAAATTCCCTGATTAATGTTAACCTACTGACCGAAACATAACTTTTTTGTGCAGCTTTTTGAATCCTAGCTTGATGATAGATGTAAGACAACTACTAGTACTAGGCTGCAAGACGATGTTTGATCAAGTGGCTGTTCAACAACGAGCACAGTGTCACCTTGGTACTTTGTATGCTTTTTCTCCTTGGGTGTCGCGTGCTCGGGATCACCAGATGAACCATTCATGACTAAAAATCGTCTATGATCCGTAGCCACCCTATTCCGTAAAATTGTCACTCCTCTGAAGCAAGCCACCGCTACTTTAGGCCGTTCGTTAACAGCTAGGCTTGAAAGCGGACCATGAACAGCCAAGGTGGGTGTCCCACATGTGTAGCTGTGAGGTGAGCCAGTTTTACTAGGCGCTACAACAAGTTATATAATTGACACCACTTGCATCATGTGAAAATCTAGCTAAGCAAATATTTGGGCCGGCATCAGAAAGTGTTGATCTGGTCTGCGGAGCGCCATCTTGTTGGAGAGATGGGCTAAACCTGTAGAACAAACAAACTGCTCATTGATCTTTCCAGTAAATTAAAGAGTGGATCCATTTTTAGTCAGGTTCCTTGAGTTTGCGATGGCCGATGAATAATGTGTGTCAAGAACTCCGCAGTGTTATGCACTACTTCTTGATGCATCGCCACAAACCTTACTCTTGGCGGTGATGCGCAGTTAGGTTATAAGTCACAGGCGACGGCCAGTTACCGTCGCACGAAATCAAGTAACCAAAAGCATCAAATCAGCTGCACGGACGTTTGTTGGACGAAGCTGCAAGTCACAGGTTACTGACCCTGGTGTACTGTGCGACTAATTAGGAAAATGTGTAACTACAAATATGTCTAGTAAAACCAAGAAAGATTTGGAGGTTAGGTCAAATTTGCTAAAATCATAAAATTCGTAAAAGTAACTAGTTGGTTCGCTAAACGGCCTACACCGAATAATGAGGAAACAGTGTGATCCATTACGGGTAAAAAAAGCATCGCTTAACAAGTTCCGTGGGATGGAAATTATTGTGAAAATCAATTGCATGATAAAGTGAAAAGCGTTGTGGTGGACTCACCACAGACTTATGTGGAATAGCGGAGATGTTCGCGTATTTAACGTATAAATCCATCAATCCATTGGTAAGGTGTTTGGCAAGACACCGTTTGATTGCGTTTTGTAGCCCCTGGCTAACAAGTCCTAAAATGAAATGTAAGTGAGACAATGCATCGTCAACACGTTTTTTAAATATCGCCAGATTGGGAGCAGAGACGAGATAATTAGGGAAGGCATTCCAAGGCTCACACACGCGGAGAGAAAAGAAATTTCTACGGCATTCAAGCCGGCTATAATGAATTGTCAGTTTCAGAGGGAGACCACTGAGTTTAGTGTTATGGTTCAACTGCAGCAGCGGACGGCAAATGTGGTTTGGGTTCTTCAGAATCTGGTAAACCATTATGAGATCCCCCCGCAAAAGCCGAGATCGACTACTGTACATTCTTAGATATTTCAGTCTAAGTTGATAGGGCAGATAAAAGAGGCCCCTGACGTTCATGGTTGCACTTGGCTGAGGAGTCTCGAGAGCAACGAGATCCTGTTTCTGCCACGGCTGCCACGCCTGAATAGCATATTCTACGTGAGGTCGCACGTAGGCGTTAAGCATTTGGGGAAAGATTGAGGGTTCCAACCGACCGAAGGCTCTGCGAAGAAGGCCGAAGTGTTGATTGCAGGTTCTCGTCGCCTTCTCTGCTTGTTTTGAACACCCGCGATCTTCCTGTACCAATACACCCAGGTCACGCTCCTGAGAAACCTTCGCCAAGGTGTGGTCTCCAATCTTGTAAGCGCTCACCAGCTGGTGACGCAGATGCATCACTTTGCACTTAGCCATGTTCAATTGAAGCTTGTTCCTCTTTGACCATTCGTAAATGCAATCTAGGTCATGTTGGAGCAGATGCTGATCCGCCTTGTTACTAATCGCCCGCCATATCTTGACGTCATCGGCGAAATGCAGGAAGTTTGAGGAGATGACTTTTGCCAGGTCGTTGATAAACACCAGGAATAAGCGCGGTCCCAGCACTGACCATTGTGGGACACCACATTCCACCTCAATTGCGTTAGAAAGTGATCCCCTAAGGAGTATTTGAAGCTTTCGTTGGTAAAGGAAGTTGCCAATGCAACCAAGTACAGGATCTCCGATTCCGTAACTCTGAAGCCATTGAAGTAGGATGCGGTGATCAAGGCGGTCGAAAGCTTTAGAGAAGTCCAGATAGATGACGTCGACTCCGACCCCATCATCGGCCACTTCCGTCCAACTACCTCGTGCAATAAGTAGGTTGGTGGTGCATGACCGGTGTTGACGGAAGCCATGCTGTTCCACTACCAAGATGTTGCATTTTTCAGGTAGTCCATTAAAGCCTCAGCGACGACTGCTTCCATCACCTTCGCGAGCACAGGCAGGAGAGTCACTGGACGATAGTTTGCGGGACCGGAACGGCTAGCGCCCTTAAAAATAGGGGTTATAATGCCACACTTCCACATAGTGGGGACTTGTTGTTCATCAAAGCACCTTTGAAAGAACTGTGACAGTGGTTCAGCCAGCTTGGTGGCCACAGCCTTCAGTGCCTTCGGGGGGATGTTGTCTGCTCCTGGAGAACTATGTTCACGCAGTGAGAGTAACATCCTTAGCAAAATTGATGGGTTGAAAATAACATTTGTAAACAATGGTGTCGGTAATGTGCTTGATATTATGGGACAGGTAGACGTTGCGAGTTCAAATATTGGGGCGGATTGCAGCCGTAGGGCATTAGCCGCTTCTTCGGCGCTTTGTACTCTGCCGCCTGTCGTGAATAGTGGGGGTATTCCATGCTTCACTTTACGAAGCTTATTGACATGCTTATATAGCAGTTTGTTGTTTGCCATGAACTTTTTGGCTAGGCACTGTTGATAAGTTACTTTGTCCTCACGGACAAGTGCAGTGCAATGGTTTCGAGGGGTCAGGAAATTTCCCCAAGTCTCTGAGTCGGGGTTAATCTTGTAGGCACGTCATGCTGCATTCCTTATCGTCAAGCATTTTGGAGTCCTACTCGTTATAATTGAAGGTATTTTCGCGGGCCGAAGGGGTTTGGTCTCTGATGCTTTGTTGACGATGTCGCTGAGCTTATTAACGAACTCTGTTCAAACGTTGTCAAGGGGACGTTTGTTTGAGAATTACCAAGCAGCTGCGTCGGCGAGTTCTTTTAATACGTGGTAGCGTGTGATTGTATGAGTTAGTTCCGAGTGTTCAGATGGATACTCTGCATAACACACATAGTCAAAACTTATTACTACGTGGTCACTGAGACCTAATGGACTATCCATCAATAACTTGGCAACCATAAGCTCTTCATTTGTGAGCACATGGTTCAATATGGACGTATTGTTTGCTGTCCTGAATCAAGTGGGCGTGGTGACATGATTGTGCAAAGGAATATTAGCGATCGGTTTATGTAAGTCAGCCTTGAACTGCTCACTGGGCCTTGCCAAAACCTCCAGATTGTGTAGCTTGAAGTCCCCGGTGATGAGAATGTGGCTGTACCTAGTGCGTGTTACTCTGTTTAGGCCACGGATCAAGCAGGAATCCATTTCCAGAGTGGACGTTGGGGGGCGGTAAACGATAGCTATGAGACATGTATCGTTGTGTCTCAGTCGGAGACGGCACCAGAGTGAGTCGGTAATGTGTGTTTCGAGATCATCAACTATTGTGCATTGTAGATCGCTGCGATAGTAGAGTAGAATGTCACCTGTTCTGCTGGGGCGGTCGATCCGGAGGAGTGACATTCCGGCTATCTCAACCTCAGCATCAGTCACCTCTTGGTGTAACCAAGTTTCGGTAATAGAAATTAGGTCCCAAGCATTCGCAACCTGGCGTAGTCGAAGTTCGTTAATTTTACTGACGAAGCCCTTGGGCGTTGGTGTACATACATGAAGGTTTCTCAGATTTAATCAATGTTTCAGAAGTTGTACAACTCATACGTGAAGTTTCGCCGACCAGTGAGTGGCCGGCGACTGGATGGGTGGATGAAGCAAATGAGTTTACGCCGATCATTAAAGGGTCGGCGACTAATCGTTTTTTGGATGGGTTGCATACTCTCGAGAAGTATTTGATATATAAGCAGGTATCAGATGCTCCGAATCCTTGTGTTTGCTCGTGCTCTGCTGTGCCCCTCCGGATAGTATGGCTACTTTTGAAACCGTCCCCGAGTCGGGTCCTGCAGCTGGCGTTTTCTCTAAGAGTTGTGCCTCTACTGAATTGTCATTAAAAGGTGTTGGTGTTCTTGCTGCTTTCAGACGAATTTCTGTTGGCAATCTGCAACGGAATTTAATCCAGTTCGCTAGTAGGGTTTGTGCCATTAGTTCTGACTGTAACACAAGTTTTAAGAGCCTGGGACCGCATCCTTTATAGTTTGGTGATATGGGGATCCTTGTCAAAGAGGTGACCACCACATTTGCGAGAGAAAGAACCTCCCGGATATAGTGCCATTGCTCGCGGTCGTGCATCTGGGCATCGTCGGAAGAGGAGTCATTAAGCTCAGGAACACCGTGAGCAATCACTGTTTTCTTATCTTGACTTATTCTGTACCTATCTTTGTTAGCGTGATCCCCTGAACGTTCTTTCCACGGGATTTCGGGTAGTATGCGCACTCCACTTGAGTCGTTGCGGAGACGATTCGCGGACAGCAGAACGGCCTCAGTCTCGTCCGCCGAGTTTAGTGTTACCCGAAGTAACCGGGGTTCGCCGTAGTGCAACGCATTTGGGTGGCGCGAGTTTCTTTTTAATGTCGTGGGATTAGCATTGACTCCGATCGACGTACAGATGGAACCCCACTGATTTCGATCGTCCGTCAACTTACCCTTAATTGTATTGGATTTGGATTCGGGGACATAAGTGCATACAGTGTTTAGGGCACCATGGTTGCGCCTGGTGGCTACTGGTTTTGGATTTGGAGGCTTAGTTTCTGGTGTTTTTGTTGAATTTGTGAACGGCCTTGGAGTGTGCCATCCGTGC